ATATGTGGAAAGAAGTATTAGGAGAAAATGGAATGAAAATAAATGTCAAGAAAACAAAAACAATGGCAATAACAGAAGAACAACAGAAAATAAATATACAGATAGATGGAGTGAGGCTGGAACAAGTACAATATTTTGATTATCTAGGGGTATTGATAGAAGGATCAGGAAAACAAGACAAAGAAATAGAAAAAAGAATAGAAAATACAATGAAAGTATACCATAGTATAAATAAAAGCTTCATTAACAAGAGGGAAATATCTACAAAAACTAAAATGAATGTGTATCAAGCAGTTTACAAACCAATTTTAACATACGGGTGTGAGACATGGATATTAACGAGACAACATAAGAGTAAAATTCAAGCAACAGAAATGAAGTATCTGAGGAGAGTGAGAGGAGTAACGAAAATGGATAGAATGAGAAGTGAGCAAATAAGAAAAGATTTAGGAGTACAATCGGTATTAGAATTCATAGAACAGCGACAGCTGAGCTGGTGGGGGCACTTACAACGAATGAATAATAGCAGACAAGTTAAAAGGATATGGGAAGCTAAAATACAAGCTAAAAGAAGGAGAGGAAGACCAAGGGAAACGTGGGACAGCACAGCAGAAAAAGCATTAGAAAATAGAGGCAAGTCATGGCAAGAAGCAAAGCTAATAGCAAGAGACAAAAAGCAATGGAGAAAATTTGTATATAAATAGTTAGGAAATTAATTATATGAAATTATTTGTAATCCCGACACCTAAGGGTAAAAGGGAATTTGATTATATATATATATATTTATTCTATATCGAAAATGTACTGTGTTTGTTTGTTTAATACGCAGAAATAAACAGAATAGTTGCGCGGTGAACGCCTTCTAAAAAAATATTGCCTTCGTTGAGCGCGAACATCGACCTCGGACCATATAACGTATAGTATACGCAAGTAATGCAAATTGAAAAAGACTATTCTGCTTCCTTTCGTAGCGTTGTTTACGGCGGTTGTCATGACAAAGAAGCGGCCAACATTGGATTAACCTACGGTGTGAGGGAACGAGTGACGCAGAAGTTGAAGCAGCATTATCCATCGCCTGCCATTAACAGTTTCATTTTATATGATACGCGTTACCCAGTGCACAATTATAACGGTTCTTTGTTAATATTTGTTTTGTATAATAATTGTAGAAATGTTTCCTATGTATGATCCAGTATGCATTTTATTGGAACGCCATTTTTCAGATGGAAAATTGAGGACAAAAAGAATTTTTTAAATTGCGAGAGACCTGGATGGAGCTCAATTCTTGACGGTGAGAGAATAGAATGCTCCCTGGGGAACATTCCCTCATTTCGCTCTACTACTGTTCTCTCACAAAATTCATACTGTATTCTCGACACAAGGGGATCGAGCCATGAAAGTAAAAAACGAGGAACAATGTTGTCAAATGTACCGACCAATCAGAAAGCAGTAAATAGGCGGTAGAATGAAAACTAGTGATGAGCTAGTCATGAAATAAGTGTGCTACTTATTATTGTTATTTGATTGTCAGTGTCAGGTGCAGTCTAAAAAGGAAAGAAAATAGAAATCAATAAAAAACCGAAGCTAAATCCAGTAAGTTCTAAACAAAAAGAACTTCTAATATATTATATTGAGGGTAAAAAACGAATGTACACTGGAATGTTAACACCCAGCTACACTAGAGAGACAATGATGGCTAACTGGGAAGAACTTACAAATATTTTAATACTATTTTAGGAAGATTCTATTATTATTTTATTCGACTACTGTACAATCCCTCAGGTAAACACAAATTATACGAACGTTTCCTCAAAGTTCTCGAAGGATATCACCACAAAACAATAACTAGAGATATGAATATGACAGATTGCGGAATTCGTAATTTGTGAAACGTGTCAAAAAATATAGGGTTAGGTTTAATGACCCCTGCCTGTTCCCCCGAAAATATCGGTAGAAGAAATAGTTAACAATTCTTCTATCATTACTCAATAGAACACCATTCAAGAATACCGATTAATGTGTTTTAGTAGAGACCCCCCTTTCTCTCGTTCCTTCTACTCCCTATAATTCAAGAATAAAGTCCCTGTGCCTTCTCTCGATATGGAAAAAAGGGGAAGTCAAAAGACAACGTGTACGCGGGGTGCTATAAATTAGAAGGTTGAAATTGAAGATAGGGGTGAAAATGCACTTTTACAGTTTTTTAAATATAGCATGAAAACGAAGCAAATTTGCATTATAATTCATAGGAAAAATTTTGTAGAGAATTGAATTTCTCATCGAAATGGCTTATTTAAAAAATGTAAACGGAAAATTTTATGCAAAAAATCATTAATAAACAATTTTAAAGAAAGCAAAGAATAAGATTTTTTGATTTTTTTACTTTTTTAATAGAATAATTTAGTAAAAACTTGAGAATTTAAGTACAATAAAGTTTATTAATAATGTATATACAATATGTCCACGGGTGGAGTTGACAAAAGAAACTCTTGTTTTTGACTTTATGGAAAAATGTCACTTTATAAAAAGTTCTGCCCCTCGAAAAAATGAGATGTCACACAAACATCTTAGATTAAATATACAGGGTGCTTATAAATTAAAAAAACACGAAAATACTCAAGAGAGAAGTACCGTTATTTATTATTTTAACCATTTACACTTTTTCAAAAAACAAATCTGTTTATAACCTCAAATAATACAAATTTTAAAATTAAAATTTCAATTTTTGAGGTGGGAAGTAGCTATACTCGTATAGAGTAAAAGTCAGAGCTATACCGAAATTTTGCTTCGTTTTCGTGCTATATTTAAAAAGCTGCAAAAGTGCATTTTCACACCTATCTTCAATTTCAACCCTCTAATTTAATAGCATCCCGAGGTTTTTTAATGACCCTTCGAACAAGTCGTAATGAAAATCCTTGATCGTTTTATTTCCTTCCTTTTTTGCAAAAAAATGAGAATTAAAACGTATAAGGGTAAACGCGACCAAAATCGAAAAATTGGTTAAGTTTGTTCGGCCATATATCAGTCAATTTTCATCCAAAAATACTTTACAACCGCTTGTTTTGAAGGAAACTTTATCTACTTTTTTTCTATGAACCCATCTTTACTCAAACTAGAGGCAAAGAATTTCGATGGGAAATTCAATTCTCTAAATAATTTTTCCTATGAACTATAGCGAAATTTTGCTTCGTTTTCCAGCTACAATTAAAAAACTAAAAAGGTGCATTTTCACCCCTATCTCCAATTTTCACCCTCTAACTTAATAGCACTCGGCGGTTTTTTCATGACCATTTGAACGATTCATATCATAAAATATCTTGAACGTCATAGTTCCTTTTAAAATCCTTTATTCAATAGTCTATAATATAGTCGGGCATATGGAATAAGAAGGGATTAAAGAATTTTGGGAAGTTGTCGTAACCTCAAAGCTTCTTTGGAAGATACATACGTACGGTGTGAGTTAATGTTCGCAGTTCGTAGTCCACAAGCCGAACTAATATTTCTATTTTTTATAAAATCTAAATGAAAATCCTTCTCACGAACGTCAGTTCTTCGGTAATATTGCAAATGCATCTAAAAATTTTCAGATTCATTTAAAGCCGTTTTTTTTTTCTTTTCAATCAATAAATATGCTTCACCTATTTTCGATGTCACGAGCCGCCACTGCTTTCAATTTCTCTATTAATTGAACTTTCCCTTTCTAGAGTCACAGTCAGACCATTTTTAAATTACAATTAAAATGGGACATCCCCAAAAACAGACAAATTATGAAATTGAATGGAAATGGATACATACAGGCTGTTACAAATTCGCTTTGCATTACAGGGATTTCGGAAACGGTAAGGGATACGAAGTAGCTTAAATGGGGACAAAGTTGCATAATCAGGAGACCAACATAATGCCTATAAAAAATAAAATAAAATAATAAAAATAATAATTGGAAAAAACCGAAATTTTGGAAATCTCTTTTTATTTCATTTCAACCTTGTTTGAGACTTTCTCATGGCAACTTTTTACGCTCTATCGAATGGCATAATCAATTTTATATGTAACGTTTCGTTTCTTCAGGACCATCATCAACTTCATTTTTTTAAATACGACCCTGGGAATTTTATTACATTTTTTGCAAGCATTCATGCCCCCAATATTGTACTGCCTTAGCTCGAACCAGATTCTGACGTTTTGTCTCGACAAATTAATTTTCAATGTATTTGTTTCAAATTTATATTTTTTATTTAGATTCTATGTTTATTGAATTATCGTACACCTAGTTATTTAAACTATTACCATCACACGTTACAAAAAAACAATATTAGAGTTTTAATCCCGTGCTCATAGTTATTTCTAGGGTTCTCGAGTGCTCAAAATTCAAACAAATTTTGATCTAATTTTTTTCGGGATATTTCACAGGGTCTAACGACACTTAGAGCGTACAATTCAATAAACACAGAAGTCTAAAAAAAATGTAGATAAATTTGGAACGAATACATTAAAGATGAATTTTCGAGACATAAAGTCTGAATCTGGATCCGGATGAGGGTTATTGGGGGTTATGAATGCTTGCAAAAAATGTAATGAAATTTCCAGGGCCATATTTAAAAAAATAAAGTTGATGATGGTCCTGGAGAGACGAAACGTTACATATAAAAATTGATTATGCCATTCGATACAGGGCAAAAAGTTGGCATGAGAAAGTGTTCTTTTTTCAATACCTCAAACAAGGTTGAAATGAAACAAAAACGGATTTCCAAAATTTCAGTTTTTTCAAATATTACAACTAATCATGTTAGCCTTGATTTTTTAGAGGCATAATGTTGATCCCTTGATTATGCAACTTTGCATCTATTTAAGCTACTTTGTATCTCTTACTGGTTCCGAGATCCCTATAGTGAGAAGCGAATTTGTAACAGCCTGTATATACAGTTTCTTCGTGTGGCACGGATATAATGTTAACCTTTTTCGTTTCTCATTAAAAAAACTGGATACATTGCAGATGAAAAAAATAAAATGTTTATCTAATTTTTAAGATTTTAAATTTACTTTAAAAATAATTGAAACAACTTTACAATATATGTATAACGTAAATTCTTTCCTATAGCCACTGTTACTGCAAAATCGTATATGTAATTCTAATTAGTTTTGTTCAAAGAATGGTTTACAACAATCAGAAACCATAAGAGATAAAATATAAAAATATAATTTAATTATTCTTTATAATATAATAATTTCTTATAATAATGCAATTATGAACAGGCATGTGCAATTGATACCAAACTCAAACCGTTGCAAATTCGTTCTTCAAACAAAGGTATTATCTATTAATATCTCACATGCATATGTGCATTGACAGCTCACCAATGTTTAACTAATAAAATTTATTAATTATTTGCTTATCACAGATCTTTTTTAAAATTTACTAGTGAACACTTAATATTAAATATTATTTAAGGTAACTTGATACAAGTTAAGTCCAATAGATTTAAATATTTTTGAGAAATATTGTTCGAACGACAAGACAGTGCACGTTTTTCCATAGAAATGTGCGGCAATGTTCAAGCAGTAACTACTAAAATCTGGAAAGGCTTCCATACTTAGATGTGGGTAAAATGTCTTCACCAGGTAAAAATTTAAGAACTGCTTTCCCATTAAATAGTTGAAATGATCCTCCAAACTACTTGATATAAGTAGGTATACCTTAAATTTTCTTACATTACCTTTAAACTTATTATGATTTTGCTCTATGATGACCTGAAGTTGTTTTAATATCAGTCTGATTTCTTTTGAGCCTTCTTCGTACAAAAAAACCCTCCGACTAATAGAGTACTGAGATTTTCCTTCCTTGTATAATTTACTACTAGGTCTTTGCAGTAAAAAAGATTCTGGTATTGAATATATGTGACTAGTAACTATATGAAATTCAGTTGTAAGCGGCGTATCTCTCAAATCTTGTGAAAAATACTCTACAGCTCTATAAACCCCACCCTGGTGTATGAACCCATAAAATATCATCAGCAAAGTGTTAATAATAAACCACACTTTTAGTAAAACATAGGACGGTTTTTTATTTTTAGGGCGCACCAATCGTATTTTAAGTGCTTCTACTAGAACATCTTGAACTTCTGGTAAAATTGACGGCCCATGAAGGTAAACGAGAGGTATGATGATGGGAATAAGAAACCTCGGTTCTTGGTGTTGAAATAATGACAACAGCACAATAGGAGTAATGGATGATAATGTCATTAGGCACTTTATGCTTCTCACTGATGGTAGTAGATGAAATTTTCTAAAGCACCTAAAACATATATATTGTCATAAATATTATGATATTAACATTTATAAATACTTATATTATTTCTAATATTTTCAACAATAATAACAACAATAATAGAATATAATTGATTATTTTTCAAGTCCTTTACTTTAATTGATTTTTATTTATTTGGGAACTTTTATTTATTAATTTTTTTAATATTTTCCTTAACTTATAACTTTCAGTGATCTTGATTATTATTCTATAAAAAAATACTAATAATTGAAACAATAAGTCTCTTCCCTCAGGAGCGGTTCAAAATTTAATAAAAAAAATTCAAAATGTTAAAAAAATATATCAATAGTATATCAACAATATATTTCAATTATAATACATATAGTGACTCAAAATTTATTTTTATAACTGTCTTGGAAAATTAAATTAATGGTACATGACTAAAATTACATCAACAAAATTTGGCTATAGATATTGTTAATTTTTTTTTAATTTTATACAAATCACCAAATTTTATTAATTTTTTTTAACTAGTTAATTAGTTTGATTATATTTTATGTCTATACCTAATAACAGTCTTTAATAACTAAAACCCGATACTCGACGTCATCATTGATCATTTGACTTTTAATGTCATTATATGTACTTCGATGTACCCAATAAATACTTTTTCACTTACTGTTTGTCTGTCCAGTATTTTTAGTCTTGCATATTGTGCTACACTTGTCCTTACTATTCTACACTCGGATTCACCTTCTACTTGAATTCAAGTCAAAACCTCTGTGCTTCCTTCTGCAATATCATAACTGCCAAATGTTGACTACAATGATACCTTAATTTTCAAAATTTTCTCCAGTAACGTGTATTGTAATAACACATTGATTTTTTTTATGCTATATCAGTATATTTTCTTATAATTATCAATCTTCTGTCAAAAAAAAACTATCTTGACATCTCTCCACCACCTTATCTTCCTTTTTTTTTAAATTCATAATTCAAAACCTCGTTACCATACAATAGTACATTATACTATAATTAATTTGAAGCCCGAGGGCTACAATGCACCGAGGACAAAATAGCATCTCTCCCGAATGGTATATACTATTTTTTCCACGGTCTCATTAACTTAACAAGACATATTTTGTCATTATGAAGTACGTAGCACCAGAATTATTGTATTCGGATTTGAGCATTTATTTAGTAGTCGTTGAGTTATTGTCATAACTACAAAATAAACAAACAAAAAGAATTGTCAAATTAAGGTGCTAGTTTGGTTTAGTTTAAAGTTTGTTTAGTGCACAATGAATAATTGTGAGTCGGAAGAGATTGTGGAGGCTGCAAATATTGCAATAAGCAATTTGCTGCCTACGAAGTCAAGATCTTTATACGATATAGCCTACAATCGGTTCAAAAAGTGGTGCGCCGAGAAAAATGTTCAAGTATACAGCGAGAATGTTTTGTTGGCATACTTCAGTGAAAATGCAAAGAATTACAAGTCTTCCACATTATGGGCGCAATATTCTATGGTTAAGTCATGCTTGATAATTTACGACAACATAGATATAAGCAAATTCCCCAAGCTGATCGCATTTTTGAAAAGAACCGGTGACGGATATCAAGCGAAAAAATCGAAAATATTGACAAAGGGTGAAATCGACCGTTTTCTATCAAGTGCAGATGACAAAGAATTCTTAATGATTAAGGTAAGATTACTTTTGTTGTTAGGTATTTCAATTATTAAGTATTTTGATTTTTTATAGGTTGGATTAATTCTGGGGATTGCCGGAGCTTGTCGAACTGATGAACTAGTCAATTTAACTGTAGATGATATTGAGGATGTAGGCTCTTCCTTGATTGTAAAAATTCCAAACACTAAGACAAAGATTCCACGAACCTTTGTGGTTACCGATGTGGGAAATATGCTTGAATTGTTTCGAAAATACCTGTCCCTTCGTCCTCCCCACGTCAAGCATAAGCGCCTTTTTTTGTACTACAAAGCAGGAAAATGTAGTTCGCAGCCAGTTGGCAAGAATACCATGGGAAAAATTCCGAGTGTAGTAGCTTCGTATTTAAAATTACCTGATGCTGCATGTTATACTGGTCACTGCTTACGAAGATCTTCAGCGACATTACTGGCAGATGCTGGTGTGGATATCACGACAATAAAGCGTCATGCTGGTTGGAAATCAACGACAGTCGCTGAGGGTTATGTCGAGAACTCCATTGAAAATAAGACCAAAATTGCTAATCAGGTTTTAGTAGGTACCACTACTAGCGCAATCACAAAAACTGTAAATGTAAGCGAAAGTAATATTCCTTCTAATATTAATTTTGAAAATTGTACAAATGTAACATTTAATTTAAATGTCAATAAATAATTTCAATGTTATCTTTTTTTTTGCATGAAAAACGTTCTCCATAATGTAAACTCCCTTGGGAGCATTATACTCCCTTGGGAATAATCGACTACTTCTGTTTTAATTTTGATGTCATAGAAACTGATTTCTACTCCCGACCGTGGAAAAACATTTTTATAATTTACAAAGTTCTTACATCTAATAACAATATATTTTTTTTATTTAATTTAATTTTCCAAATGATTATTATTAATAAGTAATTCTAATAATAATAATAATTAAATAATTTAGTTCCATCTTTTAAATCACTATGATATTTCATTTTATGTAATATATCGTTTTAGCTTTTCTTGTGACTTATTGTTCAATCATTGTTTAATTCAAATCTTCATACGTAAATAATCTAAGTTTATTCTAAATTTAATTTATCAAAATCACTTAGCCTGTATATATATATATATATG